CCTAATTTTTTTCGGTCCCTGATTAGTATATAAATTTGAATTGATTGTGTTTTCTTGTAGTACTGGGTTAACTAGAAAAGTTGGTTACTTTCTGTGATGTGTTTGGCAGAAGGATGAGCCAATATTGGATGAAGTGCTTGATGGAAAATGATGATTAATGTGTTAATTCTGGCACTCTTTTTGTCAAGAATCGAAGCATCGACACGAGATTTCGTCACCATTTTCGTTTGGATCTTGTTCCATTCTGCTGTCAGTCAACGATGCTAGCAAAAATGGAGCTGAAAAGCCAGACTACGCTGTGGATTTAAATGCGAAGATTTTCGATTTTGTGCTTAAGGAGACCCACACCACTTATGCCATTGTTGAATTTTTTGCCCACTGGTCAGTTACTTTTTCTATTTTCTTGTTTTTTCTTTAAAGAATCCATTTTTGTAATTTGATAGATATATCTGTTTCTGTTTTTCAAATGAAGATCTCTTTTTGATGAATAAAAGAGATGTGAAATGAATGGCTTTGTAGTTTGTTTGGTGAAAGATTAGCATATATTATAGATTTAAAAATCCTTTACCTTTAAAGGCGCTTAAACAGTTTAGGATGGATAAATTTTTCCAATCGCATGATTTAATTAGCTTTTAGTTAAAGTATACTTGGGATAATAATTTCCTTGAACTACTGATGCTGGGTACTCTATCCCCTCCCCCCCCCCCCCCCTTCTTTTTGTACTTCTGTTGAGAAATGATAATAAAACCCAAAAATTGGTTGGAGCACGTCTTGTGAGAATCTTCCAATTCACAAACAATATCCTAATAAGACAAGTCAGCACAGAGACACATAGATTGGAGACTGTAAAAGACCTGTGCTGATTGGATAATGGAGTGATGAAAAACATTAATACAATCGACCTTAAATTTGTTGGGGACTGAAGATTAATTTTTTATTGTATGCGTTTGTTGGTTTTATTTGCTATACTAATAAAATAGAGCAACAAATTCCAATATTCAGTATCCGTGCTCTCTGTCTTCCACTCTTTTCTTTTGTTTTCTGGATAGAAAAACTGACATGGTTAAAATGTTCAGGCGCCCATTATTGTGAGAACTCACAAGGGCATTTCTGAAAGTTCTATTCGTCAATCAGATGTTGAATCTGAGTAGCAGACGTTTATCTGCTCAGTGTGTTCCTTGAAGCTGTCATAGCCTCATATCAAAGTCGCACCGTTGAAGGCTATTTCCTCTTTATTTAATAAGTTTGGGACCGGGTTCCATGGAAGCAAAAGTTATCTCCAGCGGAATCCGGTACTCAAGCCTTCCCAGTAGTTATATCCGCCCAGAATCTGAAAGACCAAAACTATCTGAAGTTGCTGACTGCGAGAATGTTCCTGTAATTGACTTGGGTTGTGGAAATAGAAGTCTAATAATCAAACAAATTGGCGATGCCTGTCATGAGTTTGGCTTCTTCCAGGTTATATATCTATGCTTGATCGTCTTTATGGCCACCAGCTCATGGATTGGCGCTAAGAGCTTCACTATGTACATATATCACTACTTTCATTATCTTTAATTGTTGGACTTCGTGACTGCGTATCAGGTGATCAATCATGGAATATCGAAGGAGTCAATGGAGAAAATATTAGCGGTCGCTCATGAATTCTTTAGTTTACCAGTGGAAGAGAAAATGAAGTTGTACTCTGATGACCCATCAAAAACTATGAGGTTATCTACAAGTTTTAACGTTAAGAAGGAGACTGTTCACAATTGGAGAGATTATCTCAGGCTTCACTGTTATCCATTGGAGAAATACGTGCCTGAGTGGCCTTCTGTTCCCCCTTCTTTCAAGTAAGGCTACAGCTTTTCTGTCTCATATCACTTATTTTCTGGTTCATTCAAATCGTCCATCATGTTTATGTAGCCTCAACTCTTCTACTTTTGAAGAATGAAAAAAATGCCCATTGATGTTGTTTTTGCATAATATGTAACTCAGGAGGTGTCTGAGAGTAATTTTTATGTAAAAATGCATTTTAGAATAGTAAATTGATGTGAAATGTGTGGTTGAAAAATAAGAAATAGTTTTTGATTTACGTGTAATATTATTTTAATAAAGAATGTGTGGTTGAAAATAAGTGGGAGAAAAATGCATTTTGAAAAAAATGGCTACCAAACGGGGGCTTAATATTTCTTCCTAGTCATTGTAATATGAGTTTATTACCTTAGCTTTTGCGCGATAATTTTTATGATATACTAGAAAATTAATCCAATTATTCCATGATCTATAGGTCACTAATTACAACAGAAAAATGAGAAGGAAATATTGAAGGATGTCTTGCAGCGAAACTAATAATCTTAATGAAGGAACGGGCAGAACAGAGATATGCTTCAAATTTTTTCATATAAATGGAAAGATCGATTTTAAATCTGTATGCTTAGTCGAGGCTTATGATGTTAAGTTGTGGAGCCTAACTATTACGACAAACCTCTATAAATCTTGCCGAAGAGGACGTAATTTCGTGAACCTCTATAAATCTTACTTGTCCTTATTTCTTTGTACAAATTGATTACTCTCGATGGAATAGAATTAATGTTTCTAATTCTCAACATAAGAATCCCTCATAGTGAGCAACACTAGTTCCGCAAAGAAAATAAAAGGCAGATGTTGAAATTAATTATTGGAAATTAACAGATGATGAAAAGATTTGATGGAATTTCATCAGATCGTTTATTTATTCACTTAAGAAGGAGTGTATTTAAGAATAAAAATATGTAGACCTTGAGAAATGGCTACATATAACTAGTTGAGTACTAGGTCTTCTGTAACTTTTTGCCAGAGAGAGCTGCAACAACATGAGCAATTATAATGAGTAATAATGGAAGACTTTTCAAAACTTTCACTGCTTTTGGGCATTGTGTGTTAATTTTGAGGCTAAGATTAGACTACTTTAAGTGATGTTAGATGCTAAATTAAAGATCAGTGGCTGAACTTTAATGTATTTGAGTAGTTATTAACACCACTAGTCTTTAATGTATAATTGGAAAGAAAAAGAATATGATGCATAGATCTTTTCATTTGTAGGGATATTGCAAGCAATTACTGCAGGGAAGTTCGACAACTTGGATTCAGATTGCAGGAAGCCATATCTGAGAGCCTAGGATTAGATCTAGACAACCTAAAGAATGTATTAGGAGAACAAGGGCAACATATGGCAGTTAACTTTTATCCAGCATGCCCCGAACCAGAATTGACTTATGGATTACCGGCACATACAGATCCGAATGCCCTCACAATTCTACTTCAAGATTCACGAGTAGCAGGCCTTCAGGTTCTTAAGGATGGCAAATGGTTATCAGTAAAACCCCACCCGGATGCTTTTGTCATCAATATTGGTGATCAACTCCAGGTAAGTCAATTCCTTGGAAAATAAGCAGTAAAATCTTTCGTTAGAATGGCAAGATGCGGAAACTCAAGATATAAACTTGGAGCATGTTTGGTCAAGCTTTAAAATGTTTCCAAACTTGCTCAGCTAAGTTACTTTTCGACTAAAAAAACTATTTTAATGGTAGCTCTTCCCTCACTGTCGAAATAAGTAACTTATTTTTAATTTTGATTTATAGAAAGTTATAAATACACGTTATAAGCTCGGCCAAACACATACTCAATGGACCATGGAAATGAAATTTCAATTTCACTTCTCAAGCTGTCGATACATTTCTACTGGCCTATTAAACAAAGATGAGTTGATATGGTTCTTAATTTGTTATTTTCTTTTAATTCTTTATTTGAAATAGAATACCTTCAGCCTTGGGAAGTGCTCATGAGACGCAACTCTTTATACAGAAGCTTAAAATATCCAATGATATCTGGTACTCCGAACAACTATTTGTTTTTTTCTGAATCTAAGGCACTTATGAGCACTCAGTTTTTAGAAAATGCACTTTAGTATTCGTACTAAGTATGCAATCTGCCGGCAGCAAACTTCTAAGTTCCAACGGAACATAATAACGTGCCCCTTTATAGAGTATAAAAATGGAATTCAGTGGCATGAAGTGAGTTTACAGATTGGTCTACGTTGTGAAAAATGGATTGCTCATCCTACTTTAAGAAACCTGCTTACTTTTCGATGTGGATCATGATCAACAATAATTTTCTCTAGGCGCTGAGTAATGGCAAGTACAAAAGTGTTTGGCATCGAGCTGTGGTGAATGCTGATAAAGCAAGAATGTCAGTGGCTTCGTTTCTCTGTCCGTGTGATAGTGCAGTAATAAGTACTCCAAAAGCTCTTACGAGGGACGGATCTCCAACCATTTACAAAAATTTCACATATGCAGAGTATTACAAGAAGTTCTGGAGCCGCAATTTGGATCAGGAACACTGTTTGGAACTGTTCAAGAACTAGTACTTCTTTTCGATCTCCATTGGACAAGATTACGTAGTGGAATAAGTAGTAGTTATCATTACTTGATTTTGTCAATTATTTCTCTTAATGTTTGTACCATTTGTCTCTGCAGTCCGTATGATTGAAGCTGCAGTTGTTTAGCAGAAGAGTTGCAGGTTTCATGTCTACATTTTTTCTTAAATTTTACCAGGTGTAGCAAGTGGCTGTTCATTTCATTAATGGTGTGTGTTTCAATCCCTTTCATTTTGAAAAATGTATGATGTAGTAGATTGATGAAAACGTATGATTAAAAAGAAGAAAAAGTTTTTTATTTGCGTATTATATTATTTTAATGAAAACTGTATGGTTGAAAATAAATACTACAGAAAAAATAGTGTGGAATAATATAAAATAATGGGTGACAAATAGGGGCTAATAGTGCTTAGTAAAATTTCTTCTTGAATTTTTTAGAATTTTCCCCTTGTTCGAAGCGACAAAGGATCAATGCATTTCTGCATCAAATCACTTAGAATGTTTGTAGTTGGCTCAACATGTTGGCACGATTCCTAGAAGCCATAAGAACACAAGATCGTCTAATCAAAAAAGGCTAGCATTAGAGTCCCCATCAGAAGAGCACGAGTCAGTCCAGAAGCCAAAAATCATTAGCTGTGATCAAACCAGGATGGCCAAGTAAAATGGAAGTCCACAAACTCTGAAAACGAGTCTTATTGCTATGCTAATAGATAAAACTAGTGAAAGTCATATCAACGGTAATTTTAGGAAGACAAAACAACTTCTCTTAAGAATGATTCACATCTTGAGTACCCTGAACGCAAAGAGTCGCAGCCATCATATCTGCTTGTGTGGAAGTCGACACTGTTGGAGGAGTTGCGGGCATTGGAATTGGCATAACCCTTGGGGTTTTGTTCTCGTCAAAAACAGAAAATTTTGTCATTGGAGTTGCCACTGGACTTTTGCAAACACTTTGCATCTTCCCGAGTTCTCTATTCTGACCCTGAATGTTCATGGACTCGATATTGGATGACAATGAGGACGATATGGGAGACAGAGGTTTCCGAATCAGCAATGATTCAGTAGAGGAGTGCTGCTTTACCGGCACATTTGACATGTTTTTCTTGCCTGTTCAAATAGTTAAAACAAACCAGTACGCAAAATCGAATTCAATTATCAAAGAATATAAAAGAGAAAATGAAAAAGTTTTCAGAGAGAAGGTTTACCTGAAGAACAAGCATAATGTCGACTTTGCTGATGGCTGTGTAAACTGGGATGCTTCCCAGAGTTAATCTTCAGAAGAGAACCAGATGGGAGAGAGGTTTTCACTGGATATGAGTTTTGAAGGACAGCCCCTCCTAATGAAAATCTCTTACTAGTGACATTTCCAGTTGAAGGTCTAAAATTTTTGTTCCCACTAGTTGACGGACTCGGTTTCGACCCAAAAAGCACTTCCTTCTCTGCCATCAACTGTCCCTGAAGTTTCTTCTGGTCCTTATTTTTATATAGGAAACTTGTGTTTAGTCACATTGTTTTGTTGTATTCCTACCTAAATCAAGCATTAAAAAGTTATTTTAAATAGTTAAAATACCCTCTGCCTTTGGCGTTCTTGTTCTTTCTCCTGATTTAGTGCACAATACTGCTCAACCATGAATAGAAGGCCAACCTGGATACAGGTATAATCATAGAAAAAGCTTTACAAGAATGGAAATACAACCCAAACATATGATAGTATGTCCTAATAGAAGACCAAGATCAATTTATCCGACGAAATTTCTAACAAGATAAGTGCTTACACCATCATAGGAGAACTCGATTCCTCTTTCTTCCTCCCAGGCATTTGCTTTTGATTTCAATGTCTCCAGCATTGCTTCGATAACAACCAAAACAAGTTAAATAGATTAAAAGTGATGGTATAGAAGGGTGGAATTGACAACTAAACAAAGCCTATAATCCATACAACACATAATCGAGAATATATATTACATGGATCTCATTAATTCATTTTCACCCGTCAACTCAACTCATAAGTCTAATTCAAACTTATATGAGTTCGCTAAGCGGATCCTCTTCTGCTACTCTGCTTAATCATGATACTAAAGCCAGGCTTTCTTTTTCCACTCACGATCCATGGCACACAAACCAACTTTCCCATGTTCATCTACGTTGAGTGGCAAAACTTCATTAACCAGGTGATGTTGCTTTACCCTCCTATACATGAGCTAAGTTGAACATAATACCTCTATGTATCAAAGATCGATGCACATTTAATCCCAATGTTTTTGGATTGGAGTCTTCATAATCAACATAATAATTAAGATTCAACGTTTAAGATTCAACGTGATGGATCCAACTGTTCTCCTGGTAAATTCCCAGTATAAGTCTAGCAAGGGAGAACCATTACTATTTTTCAAAGAAAGGTGACGAATGATTCTGAAACAACAAGCTATAAGGAAAAGCTTAAAAAGAGATTTCTTTCAATTCTTCTCATCAATACTCCAATAGTAAAAGAGAACTTGGCAAGTTACAGTACTAACTTCTAGCTTAAAAGAAATAAATGGAAGAAGGAAAATTTTCCATGATCAGAAGTTGTTCCAAGTCTTACCTAGACTTTCGACATTGATAAATAAAATAAACCTTAGATACATGTTAATATTAACAAGTACCTGGAATTTTGTTCACAAGGGCACGAGCTTTTTCTGCACGCTTTAGCATGAGATGTGCACCTCTTCCACTGTTATAGCGATTTCCATCCTAAATTAGAAACATGTTAAAATAGAGAGATATGATCAAGTGAAAATGCCTCACATACTAAACATTATAACCAACCCTGTTATAATCCTCCAGCCAGCATTCCTCCTCGCAGGCAGCTAACCATTTTTGAACCTTTTCAATTATCTCTTTTCTAGAAAAAGCTTCCTCTTTAACTTTAGCAATATGAAGTTCCATTTGGTCCAGTAGATCTGTTGGACTAATTTTCCCTGCCACATGGTAATAACATCAAATCACAAGAGGGTTGCTCCTGCTTTTCATCCAAATAAACCTATTCATTTATATTAATGTACCAGAAAAACAAGACCCCTACCAGACTCAATTGCTTCAGTAGAAAAGTCTACAGCACATTGCTCTTCAAGTACCATGTGTGCAGCCTTGCAGATTTCCTCTAAAACCAACCTCTTTTTCAAGAGAACTTCCTTCATTTTAATTGATTTCATTTGTTGCAGTCTCAAAACTTCTGCCTCAGCCTGTAAAAAGAAATATTACATATGTTTTCCTTCTAGAAATGAACCATCATAGACCACAGCATTTCAACTCTCACAAAAATATAAACCGTGTGGAAGCACCTATGGAACCTAATTGAAAGAATTTAATATTTGGAGAGATAATATCACTAACATACATTATTAATAAAGTCCATAGACAGTGTGTTGGGCTGAGTTATTTCATTTTCTGAAGCAGCTATTTTTTGTGTCACATTTTGGAACGTTTGTTGCTCCTCAACTGGGATATCCATCAAGCTCCAAAGCTCCACCATGGTGGTTGCAAGATCTTCAAGCTGAAAGTGCTAAAAGGTTCAGAAAGGGAGGATAAAAATGGACATGGAACGTAAATTAGAAAAACATAAATACCCTCTGCATGCGCTGTATCTTGACATCTTTAAGCCTACTGATTGTGAGAGACAAAATCTCGATTGTGTCTGCACTTATACTTTTTGTGCTATATGCATCGTCCAAAGTTGGATGAATCTCGTGAACTGTTAATTTGAAGTCCATCCCAAGAACCATACATAATGAGTTTAGAGTATTCAACTGGTCAAGAACTTGCTTCACGCGCTCACGCTGTGTAGAAGACGTAAAATTCATTAGAGGAAGTCAGTGTCAAAACTATTAACAGTAGTAAAGTGCATCCATATAATGTGAAACTCAAGGCTTGTTTAAGAGAGATTTTTTAAAATCATTTTCAACCAAACATTCGAAGGGACCCACCCTTTTTTAACCATACATTCTCCAAAAATCATTTTTCACCTTTGGAAAAATCACTCCCAAAGAAAACGCTTAGTTGAAACTAAACACACAATACATATATATATATATATATATATATATCTTAAAAGAAACAGCATCATTTCAATATCTTCATTTTCTCCTCTCTTGTACTTTTCTAAGCAACATATAACTGAAGATAGATGGAAAATGACCTTCTCTTTTTGCAGCGAAAGTAATTGATGTTTTAATTCTTCTAATCTTCTTAATGACAAATCACTCTCCTCAATGAACATAGTGTAGAGGTTCTCTTCAGTGGATCTGTAGAGCTCCTTTGAGATGCTATTAATTTGTTGCTGAACCTCGGCAATTTGACTCTTCCTCTCATTCTTCTTATTTTTCATCTCTTCTAGTCGAGGAATAATTGCCTGAAGCTTTTCTTTCAAACTCCCAGAAATCTGTTCAAAAAGCAAATGTGGAACTAATCATCAATCATATGAACTACTTGCAAATATTCTACGGAAGATTTTTGATGGAGTCCAAAATATGTTTTGTTTTCAGTTTTGACCTGCTTTATGTGAACTGGTTGTTCCCTCAGTGAAGCACAAATGTCTGCAACTTCTGCTTGCGCGTCGGCAACTGCTTGCCGCAGCTGAGCTTGGTAGCAGCTTGCCTGATCCACTTTTCTTCTATATGCATCTAGACACTCTTGTTCAAGTTCAAAAAGCATTTTGTCCCTTTCATTATCAGACTCTCCAATTTCATCCCATATTTTCTAATTCCAACAATTTTGAAACACAAATCAGAGATTCACTAGTGGAATTAAGTTACAAAGATGAACAGATAATTTAAGACAACCTGGAGCTCGGATTGAAGGAAACCACAAGTTGTTTCCTTACTCCAAGGCTGATTGCCGAGGTGATCAGACATCCTGAGTAAATTGTACCTGCGGTGAAATGAAAAAAATCTGCGATAGAAGTTGGAAATTTCTATAAAAGATATATACTAGAGCAACCAAGAAATTGCATGACGCATCCAACAGATGAACACCAAAAAACAGCAGGAAGGTAAGACTTAAGTCTTAAGAGGGCATGTAAACAAAAGATAAGCTTGGGATCACCATGCCTTCATATTTGAAAATAAATAAGTTTTATTAAAATAAAGCATTCATCATAATGCACCAACCCCCAGATAATGATAGCAGCATAGTTTTCAATACTGTGCTATAAAGCAAATTAATCCCAGAAATTTCAGAAACTATAAAAAAGAAAACCGTACATTAAGGCTGCATATTTTCTTGGCTTCAAGTTCTAAACTTGAGTATTTTTAGTAAGATTAAGTTTGAGCATCATATTTCAATTAAAGCTCTTCTTGTAAATTACAGTCAATCCTCCACTCAACTGTACTCTACTCTACCTAAACAGACTGAGAAGGAAAAAAGAAATTAATGGAAAATGATTCTCACACAAACGGCAGGACTCGTATAAGTAAATAATACAGAGCAAAATCTTTTGAAACCTTGCATCTGCTTAAAATCTCAAAATAATCAAAATGAGCATCGAAAAGTTTTTACACATATATTTATCATGGAAACATGGTTCTTGAAATAACAAATTCCTTTAAAACTATCACATGCTGCTATTTAATGTCAAATCAATCATTTTGGAGAAATTTTCAGTGATGCCATTTTAGTCATACAAGAAAAGCAAGATATAAAGAATTCGCATTAAAAAGAAAAAAAGAAGAAGAAGAAGAAGAAGAAGAGATTCGCACTTTTTATGCAAGGTAATTAACCTTCTAAAAACCTGAACATTTAAACCACCAAAAATATAATTGTCGTGATAATTAGCACTACACTTTCACAGAATCTGAAGTAGAAAGCAGAAAACGTGAATATCAAATTTACTTTTCTGAAAAAAAACATACAAAATTCTCACTATATTTTCTTTTCAAGAAACCTAAAAAGCAGAGCATGAACATCATAATTCCGAGACCAAAAATAATTTCGCCATGATAATTAGTTACATATGTAGTCACCACAAACAATTTCATAATCAAGAAATCACAAAACGTGAATCTCAAGTGTACTTTTCTGAAAAAATAAAACAAAATTCTCACTTGAATTTCTTTTCGAGATGAGCACGAACTTCACTACAACACAAATCACTGCGCAATTCCGAGACCAAACCTGATATTCAATTGTCTTGATCAAATTCGATCGTTAAAAGATTTCCCTATCCGCTGAATTAAAGTTATATTGAAACGATGCAAAAAAAACACTAGTAATTAAAAAGAATGCGTAACGTATGTCGTGAATTTATTATGAATTTGGCAGCGAAAGAGTGAGAAAGAGCGTATGTGAAAGGAGGGAAATGATTACAAAATGTGAAAAGGAAGCGTCTATAAGCGTCGTTTGTCGCTCAAGTTGTGTTGGCGGGTCCATATGGTTTTTGAATTCCAAGATTAGTTAAAAATGGAAATTACACAAAATCATAGTTTAATTATTTAAAATTCTTAAATTTTGATATTTCAAAAAATCAATATTTTTTTTATATTAATGATTTGAAAAAATCTAATAACTCTTTCCTTATTTCACGTGTTTTAAAATTTGGAAACTGTACATTTTGGAAGGACAATGCTATACGTATCAAATATTTTTATCGAATCTTTTACCTACTACTCATAACAGGGTGGGGACCACGGGACGGCATTTTAAAATTCATGTGGGCCCGTCATACATTGTGATATGGGGGACACCATTCAGTACCCCCATTATGTACAAATATCTTTTTCCATTTTGAAAAACCTCCATATACGTTCTTTCCATAAACTCTCCTCACGTTCATTCACGTTTTCATATTTTACAACTACCATTGTCGTTCATTCAAGCCCTAACTTACCATTCACCGTTGTTCATGCCGGCAAAGTCGTGATGGCTGTTGTCTACTGCAAAAATTTCAAAGAATGACTCATTCAAGGAGTGGTAAGCAAAGGGAGAAACTTGGAAGCCATGATTCAGATAGAAGAGGTAAACGGAAGGTTAATGAAGTGCAAAAAAATTCTTCTTCTAAAAGACACAAATTCACACAGCTGGTCACAACTCCACCCGCGAAGAAGGTATGTTTTCAATCTTTCAATTTTTCACTTATTTCGAGCATTCCTCTTAACATTTTAATGGATAGCTAATGTGTATGGATAAAGTATTTTGAATTTTTGTGATATATTGCATTGAATTTGTAGTGTGTAATTGTAATTGAAATGCTGGAATCTAGAAAGGTTTTTATTATTGTTTTGAAATTTAGTTGTCTAGTAGTGACTTATGTAAGGGGAATGTGTCATTTCCTAAGTGTGTTGTTCAATTTTGAACTGTGGGAAGGGACTTGTAACCTACATGTTGCTTTTTTTTTTTTTACCTGGAATCCCATTTGTAACCAATTGTTGCGATTTTTGAACCAATGTGCAGGCTTGGAGATTTAGTATACTAGAGAAGAGTTGGTTTTCGGGTAAAATTACAATTGCCCCATGAAGGGCGTGCTGACAAATTTCATAAACAATTTAAATGAAGCCTAATGTCGAATACTGCAGAATACGCGTTTTTCCCACTTCCTGAAATGTAAAGAAATCATTGTCCAATCCCAGCAGATAGACTACTTTCTGTTGAGGCAGGCGCAACAAACTAATAAGAGTGAGGTGTGGTTTAACATAGTCGGAAGATTTGTAAGATTCTCGATTTCGGAGTTTTGTTTAGTAATTGGGTTTAGATACGTTGGTGACGTCGATACAAGTAGGATAGAGAAGACCCCGTCATGTTTTGAAAAATGTGTACTTTCCAATGTTGAAAATTTTGACTCATGAAGACGTTAAACAAGCATTTCTTGGTGCGACTGACAATCCGGATGAGGATGTTTCTATGCCAGGTACATTGTATTTCTTAACGTCATATCTATATCCGAGAGATTACAAGAAGGCTATGGATCACTTCTTGTTTGTAGTAATTGAAGAATTTAATGCTATGAATTTGTTCCCATGGGGTAAGTCGCTGTTCGACACGCTAGTAAGTTCATTGAGGAAGATGTTGAGTAAGAAAATAACCCATTATAGACTCAGAGGCTTGCTAGTAGCATTTCAAGTCTAGATTTACGAGACAATTCCTAGTCTCGATGGATACATAGCTAGACGATTATCCAAAATGTACCCCCGAATAAGGAATTGGATAGCTGATGACCACCCATCGGCTGCTAAGCTCCAGAGGCCTACATGCTTCTCCAATTAGGATGTAAGTGACTAATCATGCAGCATTATTATATGTGAATCAGTACTTACACATCTTTACATGTCGCAGATCATATTAAATAGGTCACAAATTAATTTTCATAAGTAATAAATCACATTCATGAAGTTATAGATTTTATTCAGTCTGTCACATATACACATATACGTAACAGATCATATTGCATTTGCTGCCTATCATACTGAGCGTCTTACATTTCAACTTCTGAAGATCACAGAAATTCGATACAGGTCATAGGCCTTTTTATGATACGCTTGACATTGTTACATCACAACACATAGGGGTGTAAACGAGCCGAGCCGAAACTTCCGGCTCGTGCTCAGCTCGAGCTTTTTCAATACGGACTTTTTTGGGCCCGAGCCGAGCCGAGCCGGCTCGACTCAAAAAAAATAATGCTCGACCCGAGCTTTTGGCTCGAGCATTCCCGAGCCGACCGGGGTCGAGCCGAGCCGGCTCGTGTTTTGATGTCTTTTTTTTTAAAATTTTTTTTCCTCCTAATTGCTGCCCAACAGGCAGCTTTAATTATAAAGCTGCCTGTTGGTAGCTAGACTGCTGCCGAACTGGCAGCAAATCTGCTGCCTGTTGGCAGCAGGTTAACTGCTGCCAACAGGCAGCTATAAAGCTGCTGGCAGCCTATTTTTTTATTATTTTTTTATTTTTTGTTTTAAATTAAACGGGTCGGCCCGTCAATCCACGGGCCGGCCCGGGCTTGGGCCATTGTCCCTTTTTGGGGCTCGGCCCGAGCTTTGGCTCGGTTGGTCCGAGCCACGAGCCGGGCTGACTCAAGCTTTTCCCGAGCCGAGCAGAGCAATGGGCCGCCCGAGCCACCGAGCTTTTTTGACATCCCTAACAACACATATCAATCAAGCTATTGATTTCAACCTATATTCTTATATTTTCACAGTGCAATATTATATCTGATCGTTCCTAGATTTTTGTTTTGTTGCTATTAAATTTTTCCTATGTTCCAAATGGCAATTGGAAATATATGACTTGGACCCCCAAAAGTTGAAATGGCAATGCCGTACATGATGGAGGTACAGTATGACAAAACTCTCCAACTTGATCGGTCACGTAAGGAGAAGAGAAAGTGTGGTAGCACAGATCGATTAGTTCATCACTTCAAGACCAGTGTAAAGCCAAGTGCTTCGAGGATGAAACAATTTACTCCTATGCTTCTGATCACTGATGGAAGATTGGGGCACTTTGATGTGCACATTGATGATGATGATTTGGTTGACACCCCACCTAGATGGTAGGGGACATCATTCGATGGAGAGTCACCGGGTGGGGAACGTAAGTCAGCTGACACAATTGATCCACATACACCTGATTCAAAGGTTCAGTCATCAAATAATGTAAGTTGTTATAGTTTTATCTATCATGTCACAAGTCCAATTATTGCTATCAAATTTTGTTGACACAGTCATTCATTCCAGGTTACAGAAATATATTTCAAGTCACGTGCCTTAGTTACTAGGTCACACTTCAAATGATATTTCAATATGGGTTACAGGTCACTGTTTCATTTCACATTTCACCTTCATTAGTTGCCTGATTTTAGGTATTCATGTGATGCAGGTGGTTGAGGAATTGAGAAATAATTTTGGTGGACAAATATCTAATCTCCACTCCAAAAATCGATTGCTCAACAGGCAGCTCCAAGCATTGCAGTCACAGATGTTATCATTGAAGTTAGATCAGCAAAAGAAAATGAACCTTGTTGTTCGCATGCAAGGTAAAATCCATACAGACATATGGGACATCAAGTGACACAAGCAATGTATGTCTGATTTTGTACTGTATTGATTTCTTGTTCAATGGAAGAAATTATGAACAAACTGAGAGAGAAATCAGGGCCATACACTGTCGGAGAATTTGGACCAGCAGAAGAAGTGAGTCACTCATCTATTACCACATGATTTATTGAATGCTTCTTATTTGTTTGCTAAAATGCAGTTTTTGCTACTTTAGGCTACAAACATCAAAGAATTGTTGATTCAAAATGCAAAGGCAAGGTTGACTCGACGGGTGAATTTGAATTCCCTTATTCTCTTCAACTTTAATCATTTGATCTAGGTGTTGAATCTATGCAACCAAGCTAGTTGAAGGAAATGACATCTAAAGAAGTTCAAGTACATGTGAGCTCCTTCATATACAATGTCTTGAAGGAGACGAAATCTACTGAGCAAGAGGTATCAAAAAATTCTATCGTATTTGTTGAGCAATGTGTGTCACAGATGACAACCCACACTTATTTTGCAGAAATCACCTGAGGTCGCACCAAGTTCTAGATTGCCGGTGAAGAGGACTCCAAAGTCGGCTAAAGCACTTCAGTCTCCATACATTGTCGAAAAAAGGAAACAAATGAAATCTTCACGAAATGTAGTGGTCTTTGAACACTATAATCAGCATATAGATGATGTAGTTGTCACTGACTTTCAGAACTGGTTTCAAAGATAATACAAACCACATAGTACGTATGAAACAGTTGTCCTATTTTCATACCTTTTCGAATAATAAACCATTCTTTTCATTTTGCAGGAAGAAGTTCAATAATAAAGACGATCTTATTCATCCACCATTTTTTATCGGTCAGTACCTGGTAGGAAATAAGACATGTTGGACGAACTTGTATCTGGGCCGGTGTCATTGAATAGTTCGGTACATTGCTAATTACAAGTCATAACTCTAAAGGACATGTTACATTACAGATCACATGAGCCACAGTTCATTGCATAATGGTCACGTCACATTTCACACATGAATTTCATATAAAACGCACTGCACACGCGGGTCACAAGTGCATCATGTCACAGGTCATTCCGTAAAAGTCACAAGTTGCACGTGTATTAGGTCACAGGTCACTCATACAGTAAGTCATAGGTCACACGTACAGTAGATCACAATAAATGTTGCACATAAAAACACATATCTGCAATGGTTCAAGTCTAGGTCATAGGTCTTAAATTTGTTCATAGAGTAGATACTCAGTGGTCACAAATCACTAGTTTATGTCACATATCCTTATGGGTGTGACAATTCATATTAATAGTAAGCGCATCATATTCGTGTTGATTATATG